TGTTAGTGTGCCAGGATCAGAGAACGACCACCTTCCGTCTGTTCCAGGTCGATCACCTCTGGACCCTCTGGAGCTGTCCTTCTTCAGGCTGAGAGGAGTGTCCGATCTGGTGGTGACCCTGCTGAGTAATTCACCTTCATAGAAATCCTATTGCCCAGAAATCCCACGACCTATGTCCTCCCTTCCTCTGGACAGACTCTGCTAACACACCAAGTGACCAGTATGTACTGTCTGTAACCTGGACATCCCAGCTGTGAGTCCCTGAGTCAAAGCCCTCAGAGCCCAGGACAGAAGAGGTATTCATCAAACCTCTCTGGATTATCAGGAAGTTTCTGCTCTCTCCTCCTAGTCTCACTCTGGTCAGATCTTCAGACAGGATGAGTTGTGGATGAGCAGTGTTTGGGTCCAGGATGAGAGGAGAGTAGGACACCATGTCCTTCATCTTGCTCCAGATGTTGAAGCTGAGGTTGCCCAGGTGTTTGGCCTGGTCTATCAGAGCTCCTGAGGGCAGCTGTGGATCCTCCAGCAGGGGGCGCTGCAGCCTCTCCACTGCAGCCTTGTAGTTGTGCAGGAAGGAGACGTCTTCAGCTCTCAGCTCCTCCTCTGTGGCTCTGACTGTGTGTGAAAGAGCTGCTATCTCTCTGCTCACAGCCTCCATCTTCTCCTCCATCATCCTCCTCTTCTGCTCCTCTTCCTCCCTCAGTGCAGCCATCCTGGCCTCCTCTTCCTCTTCTAGAAACTGGTGAAGCTTCTTGAACTGCTCCTTAATCTGCATCTCTGTGTGTTGAGCCTGGACCTCCGTGTGTCCTGCTGTTTGAGCAAACTTCACTTTAACTTCTTCAAAGTCTCTAACTTCTTCCTCAAAGGCTGCAGAGACTTCTGGAGCTCCTTCCTGAGACCCTGAGCAGCTTCATCCATGGGTCTGAATCTGTGGTTGGTGTGTTTCTCTGAATCTCTGCAGACGAGACACACTGGCTGCTGATGGTCCAGACAGAAGAGTCTGAGTCTCTCAAAGTGCAGACTGCAGAGAGCCTCTGGAGGTCTCTGACCTCTCTCCAGTAAGAAGGTCTCACACAGGTTCTTCAACACCAGGTAACAGGGGGGATTCCTTCCTGAAGATTCTATCTTACAGACTGGACACTCTAGTGATGGTTTCCCCCTCCACCAGGTCAGCAGACAGGCTTTACAGAAGCTGTGGCTACAGGACAGAACAACAGGATCTCTAAAGACGTCCTGACAGACCGGACAGCAGAGATCTTCCTCTAAC